TGGCACACATCTGTAACCCCAGTACTTGGTACCCACATTGCCAGGCACGGTGGCACACATCTGTAACCCCAGTACTCAAGAGGTAGGAAAAAAAGAGTCAGGACTCTAAGGCCAGCCTTGGCTATATAGCAAGTTTAAGGCCAGACAGAGCTGTATGATATCTATTTTTTAAAAATAAAAAGATAAAAACATAAATATTCATGCTTAAAGCACTTACAATAGCCAAGAACCAGTGTGTAGGCCAGCGAAGGCCACTTGGAAGCATCCAGGTTACTATCTGATCATTAGTTGTCTACACTCTGTGAGTGAAAATGAACTATGGAGCTACACTCATGTCACTGTTGGTGCACACACACACACAAAACAGACGTGCACATCCTCCATGGGCCAGAGGCCTCTACACTTGTTGGTGCACACACACATAACAGACGTGCACATCCTCCACGGGCCAGGGACCTCTACACTTGTTGGTGCACACACACAAAACAGAGCGTGGACATCCTCCACGGGCCAGGGGCCTCCACAAGCAAGAGACTGGCAAGTGTTCAGTAAGTGCTCAGTGGTCCATGCGCTGACCTGAACTGGGCCGTGACAGGACAATAAGAAAGTCGGACCTGTACTTTACCTCATTTGTTCAGTGCAGCTTACAGCACTCCTGAGAGACGCTGAGAATACTGCCACTTTCCTAAAGCATGGATGCTTCAATAATGTACAGTACTGCCACTTCTAATACTGGACTGTGATACTAGCCAATGTAATAATAATAACTACTCTGAGGATGGATTCTCAATATAGCAACCACTAGATACTGTAGCAATTGGGAATTCAATACCAGTTCCTGCATAGCCTCGCTAGCTACATTTTAACGACTCGAGAGCCACAAGTATAGAAACTAGCACACTGGAAAGGGCAGGTCGGTCCACACATTTCTATCCGTGCAGAGAGTTCTCCTGAACAATGTTGGCTACACATAATTTCAAAAATATTATTAGAATACTAATTAATATATTAATAGATATGTTATTTAAATTAAAATAACAATCATCAGGGAATTGAAATCAATGCCCAAAAATTAGTTCTATTGCTACATATGAGGAACAACTAAGATATGCTTTTAAAAAATGTTGAGTGTCCATAAAGAACCATAGTGTCAAGTGTCACAGCCAAACACCTAGCGAAGTCTAGCAGATAATATTTAAGGCCTTTTGGGGGCAATCTATCAGCATCTTGCCTACCCCAGCACTTTTGCGTCATATCCCCAAACTGTCCTGACATTCCCTTTACCTCGTTGTATAAATCGCTGAATTCCTCAACCACGTCCTTGGGGATCCGGCGGCCACGGTTGGTAAGGTAGCAAGCCACGCCATTCTTGGAGTAGAGGCTGATGCGGCCCACGCTGCGCTCCCCATCCGTTGTCTCTTCCAAAAGGCCATTAGCTTCTGCTAGATGATAGATAGGATTCCCATGGGACCCATGGATCCAGGTGGCTCCCAGTTCAAAGGTGGCGTGTCCTGGGTGACAATAACAGACCCTTAGAGGGGTAGAAGTTTCTTCAGAGAAGGACAGGATTGCTTCCCTTCCTTCCCATAAGAGGACCCCCACCCACAAATACTCAACAGGGCAGGAAAGGACTTGGGAGCGTGCCCTGACAAACAGATAAAGCCTACATACAGAGGACCATCACCTGACGTCAGATGAGGTGACCAGCAGGGAGCAGCCCTGCCCACAGTGACCCTTGGATGTGTCCCACCATCACCTCATGCCATCAGCCAGACACTTCTCCTTCTAGTCACCTCCCAAGACAATATTATACCCCAGATCCCTGACTCCTGCACATTCAAGAGGACTACTGTGGGTATCCGCCCGTATTAGTCTAGCTCCTTAATACCCCATGGCTCTGAAGTCTGACCCCTTCTCTCAGACAGAAGATGTCCCCCTTCTAAAACTTCTAGGACAGAAAAGAGAGGACAACTCCAATTTAGAGCATTTTCCCCAGGGGTGAGGAATACAAACCAGATCTCTAGAGAATGTTAAGCCCTGAAATCCTTTCACAGGGTAGAGAAGGAGGAAGGCAGACCCTGAGATTCTGTTGAGGAGAGTTGAAGAGCAACCTGGATCCAAGATGCAAGAGCCCTAGAAATCCATCCTCCTTTCTCAACCCCAGTCAAACCAGCAGGTCTGAGGCAACTGCCTCAGTCCTGAGCCTCAGTTCCTTCTTCAGATGTTACAAAGTTCTGAAGCGGTTTTTCCTGCCTAGCTTCCAGAGAGGTTAACATGGTCCTAAGGGTACAGAGAAACAATTGGTGGTGTTTGATTATGCAGGCCAGGCTAAAAATCCATATGGTCCATTTCCTGTCAACTTCACAGTAAGTTCTCCCACCCTTGTGTGCACATCCCCTGACAAAATGACTGTGCATGCCCCCCAAACCGCCCCAGAGGCAGGGTCTAGAGCTTGAATTTGGATGAGGCTGTGACATGCTCTGATTAGGAGAATGTGGCTATAAAAAAAAAAAAACCCTGCAGCTTCAGGGGCCTCCAGAGGCCTGCCTTAGTTAGCCTTTCTATTGCTGTCATACCACACCATGACTAAGAGTAACCTGGGGAGGAAGGGATTTGTTTTAGCCTACAGCTCTACCTCATAGTCCATCACTGAGGGAAGCCAGGACAGACACTCAAACTGGGCAGGAACCTGGAGGCAGGAGTTGATGCAGAGGCCATGGAAGGTACTGCTTCCTGGTTTGTTCCTCATGCTTGCTCAGCCTGCTCTCTTATAGAACCCAGGACCATTTGCTCACGGTGGCGTCACCTACAGTGGACTGGGCCCTTCCACATCAATCATCAATCAAGAAGATGAACCACAGGCCAATTTGGTGTGGGGGAGAGGGGTTAGTTCCAAAATGACTCCAGCTTGTGTCAAGTTCACACAAAAGCAGCCAGCACAGGGCTTCATGGCTTCTACCCTCAACTTCTAAAATGATAACTATGGAAAAAACCACAGGATCACTGTGCTAGGAACATAAGCCTAGACCAAAGCCTATGCCCCTACCACACAAGAGGATGAGGCCATCTTAGAGAGCCTAACCAACTGACCCTGGACATGCAGGAACAAGGCAAAGCCCAAAAAAGACCCACCTACCTGAGTCCTGCCCCCACTTCCAACCCACAAATAAATAAATAAATAAAAAGTGAGTAAATAAAAAGACGTTTTTAAGCTGTTTCATCTGAGGTAGCTTGTTCTGATACAGCCTAAAGATGGCAGAACTGCCCCTCACCCCAAGAATTGGGCATACGCTCCTTATTTGCATGCCTTCCCTTTCTTGGGATGTTTCTAATTAAACCATCCGTTACTAAAAATAGCCCTGTAACATGAATGTGCCTAAAACTAGAAAAAGCACAACCTCACGCTCCAGCTTGCAAGATAAGGACAGTCAGTCTGTGTCTCTAAAAGGAGCATGCATGCACAGGCCCCCAGGTGTAGGGCAGGTAGGCAGACTGCAGGCCGCCAAAAGCTGAAGGTCTAGGTAGGGCCTTGCAACAGAAGTGTCTGTTCTAGTTTGAGCCCCCAAAGGGAGCAGAGGGAGAAGAGGGATGTTATTGCTATCGCTGTTATTAATAGTGAAGTTTGCTTTTAGACCATTCTGCAAATGTACTCAATGCAGTACCAACCACTCTCCCCTCCCCCACAAACCCCTCTCTAACATTCATGACTAGTCATTTCGTTCTGTGACCCGCTGACACTAACCAAGACCATGGGTTCAGAGCTACTGTTGGAGCCTGGTGGGGTCATAGTGGAAATGACTCAACACAGTAGTCTCCCTTTCCCAGGGAATTAACAGTCAGTAGTTCAGAGATAATGGGAAAACACTGACCCCTCCCCCTGGCACAGTAGGAAGTTCCAAGCCACACAGAGACTGGGCAGGTCAGAAGCAAGAAGACACCTTTCCTATCTTCTCCAAATGTTACTCAAATGTGAGAAGAGGTGGGGAGAGAATTCAGGCCAAGGTTTGACAGCAGCTGGGAGGACCAGAATAAGGCTTCTGCTGAGGATGTCTCTGCCACTCCATCTTGACCACATCTGTACTTCCAAAGGGCACCAGGTGCCAGCCCATGCCCACTCACCTCATAGCATGTGGTGTCCTCAGAGTCTCTGGCTCAGGATCCCTGTTCTCACTGCTGACAGGGGCAAGGCCACTATGCCATGCTGAAGCATGTCAATCTACACACTGGGCCCTGGGGCCTGCCTACCTGCGTACAACACAGACACCCCATGCAGCAAGCTCTCCCCTATCTCCTTCACATTCCTCATTCCACACCACCAGTGCCCTCCTTCTTCTCTGCCCAGCAAGCCTTCCCATCAAGCATTCTGCCCCCCCCCAAGCCTTCTCCACACAGACTCGGTTGTCACTTGCCTCAGGGACTGGGCCACCTATCTCCCCATCTTCTGTTTGTATATCAGAGTCTGAATATGCCCCAAGAATCACAAGTGGGACTGCTCTTTCCTGAGGCTGCCAGCCAGCCAATCAACAGCGAGTAAAGCACTGGGGCTCGCTGGCTGCCCCAGCTTTATGAGCACTTGGATGGCACTTTCATTCTTAGTGCCAAGAGACAACCTAGTTTGTGCATGAAAAGGGGAAACAAAACCTCCTATGTGCCTTCCAGGAATGGCTCTAGGAGGAGACACTTAGGTCCTCACTTGCTCTACAAGAAGGGAAAAGGCCCGAGGGTGTCCTTGACGTTCGTGGATTCTCAGCCTGACCACCTATCTAAGCAAGCAAGCAAGCACGCAGGCTCTGTGCGGCAAATACAGAACCCTCTAGAGGTGCAACTGCGGTGGCTCACGCCTGCTACTTCAGTACTCGGGAGTCAGAGAACTGGAGGATGAAACCCTGTCTCATACAGAAGGCAAAGCTAGGGAGATAGCCCAGTTGGTAAGGTGCTTGCCACAGAAACATGAGGACCTCAGTTAGATCCCCCAAAATCCATGTCAAAAAACCATAGTGCACACTCATAATTGGTAGAAGCAGGAGGACCCTTAGGGCTTGCCGGTCTGTCAGTCAGTCTAGCAGAATAACTGAGTTCCAGGTTCAGTGAGAAACAGAGACCCCCATCTCAAAAAATAAGAAGAAGAAGATAGAAAGCCATTGAGGGAGACACCCAATATTATTCTCTGGCCTCCAAATACACACACACTAGAGTATCACGTCACTCATACACTCCAGGTCACAGTAAGAGGCCTCACTGGGTCATCATCACAATCCCAACCCACTTGACCCACCACTGGCCACAACATCCCACACAGGCTATGGCTGTGGAAGCCCTAATCACCAGCTCTGTTTCAGGAACTATCTCTGCTCTCTAGAACCCTGGCAAAGTCTCCCTACCCAGGGGCATGTCTCTTATCCGGCTGCTTTCTCCAGGGTCCTCATTCTTTACAACCTGGACTGAGACAATCCCAAGACCGCACATCACTCACAAGGAAGCCTAAATCCCTCTTCCACTCCACCAACCTTAGTTCCTGTTGCCTGGACTTCAGTCATGATACACTAATTCATACTAAAAACTAATGACTCATCAGAACTTATACAGCCTCCCCTCCTGTGACATTAGAAACGAGTCCCCACAGTCCTCAGACAGTTTGACTCTGAGTATGCCCTCTCCAACAAACACCATCCATCCCAAGTCTTGCACCAAGTCAGCATTCTTTAAAATGGAATGTTGGTGCAAGGGGCAAAGAAAGCTTCTGGAAAATACCCACATGGGTTGCATGATCAAACATTTATCCCAAGACCAAATTAGTAAGATTTCAGGCAGGACCAGGGTACTGGGGGACAAAAGATGGCCCAGAGAGGTGGCTAATCCTGAGTGATGCTTACCAAGTCTCACGCTTTGTACGCGGCCCCCAATGTGTCTGGAAGCCTCAAGCACAGTGACATCGGTGAAGCCCTGCTCGAGAAGTGCTCTAGCTGCGGCCAGGCCAGCCAGGCCAGCTCCGATCACCACCACACGAGGCTGTCCCCTTCTCCGCAGGCCGCGACTGAGAGGGTCATCCGCGCTGTCGCCACTGGGTTCACAACTTTGCATACCGTCCGTGCTCACCTTCTAGGAGCCTGCGATGATAGGGAGCGGGTGGAGGTCAGCTTACCTGACCCAAGGAATAGTCACAGCACAGCTGCCCCCTACCCCCAGACCTGATCAGGAAGAGACACCTCCCAAAAATGCAAAAAGGGAGACAGGAAGGGGCAAAGAGAAAGGAGAGCCAGGCAGGGAGACATGGGTTAGGCCCTAACAACAGGCAAAAGGTAGACCCCCATCAACCCCACCCTCAAATCTCTTAAGCTCTGCCTGTTCCCTATCCACAGGTCCTAGAGTGGAGACAAAGATGGCCTGAGAACAGAAGATGAAAAAGGCCAAAGTCAGGGGACTGACCCTGACGTTAGTTCTGTTCAACTCAGCATGGCTGCTTTGTGCCAATCCCAGGCGGCTCACACAGATATCAGGATAATCACACAAACGAAGGATACTTGCACAGTCCCCATAATGCTCACACCAGCCCAGGACACTTGTACACATGGCACTGGGCTCTCTCACCTGGCTCTTCCCTAGTATTCTCTATCCCCTTATACCTTTTTCCTCCTGGCCTTTCTGTTGGCCTTCTGAGTCTTGGTGAGGTGGCAATGTGGTGGGAAAGACAAAGGCTTCACCGCCCCACTCCTCCAGAAAATGCTGGTGTCCAACAAGCCTTGCTATTCTGGGTAGGTCCTTTTCACCATCCACCCGGCCCCACAGTCACCACAAAGCAGCAATGAACCCAGGAAACAGTGAACTCTGAGGACCCATGGCACCAGAGACCAGACATCAAATTGACAGTTATAGTCTGCCAGCTTACTTAAAGATGCCAGCCTTTGAGCTCTGGTACTGCAGGGAAAAGAGGTGGCCCAAGGCTGGAATACACTGTTCCTCTAGTCCCAGAATGAGGAGGATGGTTTGGAGGTATCTGAGGACCACCATGTAGGAGACACTAAGCTCATACCCCAATCCCTTGCATTCCCTGACTCAAGCAACTTAAAGAGTTCGGTTGTCTTGGCTAAGGTTTGCGCCACAGATGCTACAGAATTTAATAGTACCAAGACCCAGCAAAGAAATGAATGCAGGTGGATGAAAGCTACGACCAAGAAGCAAATAAAAACCTGTCACCCGCACCCATAAAGCAAGCATGACCTTCCCCAGACACAGCAATCCACCACTAAGAACCCACTAGAGACGCAGAGCACAGCCCACCACACAGACAACGTCAGAGACATTTACAGCTTTATCCTGCTGACCAAATCCAGAAACAGCCCAAAGGCGTGAGCTGTGTGGTGTGTCGTTCCACGCAATACTCAGCAACTACAGAACCAAGCTGCGGTGCCCTGGACGGAAATGAGACTGAGCCAGAGGCCAGACACTCAGCAGCACCCTACTGTACAGCCCCATCTATACAGAGTTCAGGGAGAGGCAAGCAATCTGTTGAGGACAGGGATTAAGGGAGGGGAGGGGAGTGAGAAGAGCAGAAGTGAGTTTCTTGCAGTGGAACAGAAGGGACGGAAGGAATGGGGGTCCACAGCACGTCGAGACACGCTGACTTCCCTCTGAGCTTTCCATTTCTCTTGGGACAGTGTTCTCTAACACTTGGAAGTTTAGCAAAGTAAGTGTGTTGTTTTTTTTTCTGTTGTTCTTTTGCTCTGTTTTTCCTAAATATACTCAGGCTAAGAAGTTGTTTCTCCTCAACTCATTCATATGATGCCTGGGCCTAGAAAGAAACTCCCTCCCCTGCTGCATCTCCTACTCCACTCCCAGACTCAAACTGGCCAAGGCAGTGTAGGTTTCCTAGACTGCAGGCAGGTGGCGCTCGAGGCCCAGACTCCCTCCGAGGCAAACCTAGCTTTGCCAGAGGAGGCCAACGGTAGGTGGGCGCAGGCCTTTCCTGCCTCCTCCTCCCCTGCCCTCTTCCCCTACTCCTCGGTCCCCACCCTCCAAGGAACACGCCAAGCAGGGCTCTCCCTCCCTTCCCCTCTGCTCTCGCCCAGGTTCTTGCGCACTAAATATAGAGGTGAGGATGTGGCAGACTGCACGCGCTGGCAGGGTCAGCAGCGATGCCACCGGAAGTCTGCCAGCCACCGCCGACGCCGTGACAAGCTAGTAAATACACGGAGCGCCACGAAGGGCCTGCGTCAGCTGTAATGACGCCAGGGTGCTCAGGCATCGGGTGAGACGTGTCACGGTTGCGTGCCGCAACCCAGCCTCTGGAACAAGAGTGGGGATTCCCCTTTCCAGCACCCCTGCCCCAGGGACACCCCAGCAGACTCATTTTTGCAATAAAGGGTGGGATAGCAGCAGTGTTTGTAAAGCTTACTGGTGGAGCCACATCTTGAAATGCTACTGGGTTGAGCAGGTGTAACAGGGATTAAACTGGAGTTCCCACTCTGACTGGGGCCACACACACCTGTAATTCCAGTACTGTGAAGGCTAAGGCAGGAAGATCATGAGGTTCAAGCTAGCCTGGGTTATATTGCAAGACATAATCTAAAAACAAAAACAAAAACAGACAAACAAAAAACCACGGGGTGTGTCCTGCTTATCACAGGATCCCAAGACACCTCTCTAAAAGCCAGAGAGGTCTAGCTGACCTTTCTTCCCCTAGGCTTGGCTGGCTGTAACAGTCAAATAAGGCTACCACAAGGCTATCAGCATCTAAGGACCTCACAGTTTAAGTATCAGGTGCTGTCGGTACATTATGAAAGGATTCTAGAACGGACCACAGGCCATCTTAAAGGTGATCACAGAAATAACCCTCAGCCCCCAACACCAAATCTCAAGAGACCTTGAACATGGGTATCAGAAGGAAGTCATACAGGAAAGCAGAGCCCACGTGGGTCCTCTGCACCACTGACCTTCACAGCTAATCCCACAGTCCTGTTCTTCCATAAGCCTTGTCCCAAACCAGCTCCATCCACCCTTGTTACCCACAAGAAGTCAGGGGCCCCCCACACACAGCCACAGAGGACAGAGGACTGTCCACCATGTCCCCCTATCACCCTGCATCCATCCACGAGGTTGTTTCCTGTCAGTTTTTATCATTTTCCCTTCTGGGATTATTTTTTTTGGGGGGGGGAGGTATTGCTTTGTTTTGTTTTTGTTGGGAGAGAGGGAGGGAGAGGGGAGGGTGAGGGAAAGGGGAGGAAGGGAAGGAGGGAGGGAGAGAGAGAGAGAGAGAGAGAGAGAGAGAGAGAGAGAGAGAGTTCTTATTGAGGAAGAAGAATCGTTTAAATGGTCCTTGGTGCATGCCTGTCCCTCTCTTGCCCTGATCTGTATGCACAGGAGAAACAGAACGCCCTGTACTTGCCCACAGATAAAGGAATGAAGAAAAAGTGCTGGCTCAGCCAGGCGGTGAGGAGGGAGGAGGGGAGCTGAGGGAGGCACAGAACAATAGACACTTGCCTTTTTGCTCTGGCCTCCATGGTAAATTGGGGTGGGGGTCTAGGGCTTCCTGCCCAGTATCCATGTCCCCAAGCAGACCAAGTCCCAAAGCTTCAAGAAACCGGGTCAGCCAGAGCATAAGTGCTCTACTTGAAAATCCCCCACTGACTCCTGATACCACTTCCCTGGCCACAGGCCACAGCTGCCCACTGCTGCCCAGGGCCAGCACCACCTCTGCACGATCCTGCTGAGCCCCTCCCAGAAATGCCCAGAACTCAACACGCATCTTCCTGTACTCATCCCAACAACAGCCCAGGGTCAAAACTGTAGGTGTCCTTGGAAGATCCCCTTTCTCCACGGGGACAAGCCACGATCATTCCTACAGTCCAAACACTATGGCCCCCGCCTCAGTGTTCTCAGGGACCCTTCAGCTTCCTCCCTCTCTTGAACCTCACCTGCACCCAGTCCCAATCTCCACCCTCTAAAGCAGTGGTTCTCAACCTTCCTAATGCTGTGACCCTTTAATATAGTTCTTCATGTATCATGGTGACCCCCAACCATAAATTATTTTTGTTGCTAATTCATAATTGTAATTTTGCTACTATTATGAATTGTAATGTAAATATCTGTATTTTCTGATTGACTTAGGTGACCCCTGTGAAAGGGTCATTCAACAACCGTGGGGGTCACAACCCACAGGTTGAGAACCACTGATTTAAAGGCTAACTGGCTAGGCCTCAGTAATATGACCACAGAATACAATCCAGCAATTCATTGAATATCTACTCCACACCAAACATGGGAAAATCCTTCATCCACTGGCCATGCTGGCCTCAGTTCTGCAAGATACTCCCCTCCACATACAACAGAAAGCCTTGGGCTTCCCCAGCCCATCTAAAGCCTCCAGGGAAACATTTTCCAAGAAGCTGCCTCTGGTTCTAACCCGCACAGTCCTCATTGGGACTTAGGAGCTGTGCCATCATTCCCCAGGGCGACTGTGGACTGTAGGCTCCACATACTGGCTCTTAAGTACAATAGCTAACAAACTGCTCCCAGAACACAAGTGTCTCTCTAGGGACCTCTTACCACCTAGTGTCTCAGGACTGCGGCTGCATGCAGCCTCCCTATTGCTGAGCAAGGCCAAACTCCAGGCTGGACTGGTAGCTCTCCAGCAAGTGAGCATGGCCACAGGCTGAGAAGCAAGCACTACTCTGCAGGTTAGCAGTGCCGCCAGTATAGACACCCTGCTTGTTCCGACACTGGGGCCACCTTTGCCTTTCCCCCTCATTCACAAGCCACTGCTCCCTAGCCGTGCTTACTGCCGAAAATACAAAGCCACAGTGACCACCTCCCACACCTTTCAAAGACACAAAAGATTCCACCCATCCTGGATCCCTGAACACAAGTTACTCCCCAGGGTGCCTGAGATGCTGTTCTTTCCTCAAGTCACCTCAATCTGGATTTCTTCATCTGCTGCCTGCAGAAGAGTAAGGCTCCCCGGTGGCCAGCCCCCTCCTCACTTCATCTCCTTTAGAGTCTAGGACCACACCAGCTGAAACCCTCCAAACCAGGTCACTGCTTCTAACCAGCATCCTTTCCCTCCCTCAAGCCTGATGTTTGCTCATGAGAGATCTACCCAGGAATCCCCAGG